GGTGATGTTGTGTGTATGGTGGGATTGGAAAGGCATCGTTTATGAGCTTTTACCAAAACCGTCGATTCGAATCTCTACTGCTAACAACTAATGAGACTCAAGCAAGAAATTGGGAAAAAACGGCCGGAATTGTACAACAGAAAACGAGTGGTCTTTCATCATGATAACGCCATACCACACACATCTTTGGCCGCTCAGCAAAACTTGAGAGAGTTTGCTTGGGAAGTGTTAATGCATCCACCATATAGCCCTGACCTTGCACCCTCAGATTTTCATGTGTTTCGCTCTCTTCAGAATTTTTGAGTAGTGTAAGGTTTAACATCAAGAGAGGACTGTCGGCACATATATAATATATAATTATATATTATATATGTGCCGACAGTGATATACTACTTGATATACTACTTGTCGGCACATATATAATATATGCACACTGGCACAATTAGCGGAACAGAAAAAAAGTGAGACTATGAGATAATAATGCATATATTTGACGAAAAAGTAATTAGACACAAAATAACAAATTGATTAACATCTTTTAACAACGTCTTTGAAAAGTCTTCGTTATTTTTTATTGAAAAATAAAGAAATTTGAAATAAGTGAAATTTTTAGATGATTATGAACCATCACAAAAAATAAAAAAAAGTAAGCATTAAATGATTTAACAATAAAATTAAAGCAAAATTAATAATGTGTTTCCCCCTCAAAAATTTTAAAAAAGATTCAAAAAAGATTTTAAAATCCTGCTTTTTTTGTGTTCCGCTAATTGTGCCGGTGTGTAGAAATGGCCATACCTACAGATCGATTGCCTCAAGGCTTCGTCCACCAGTATCTACGATTCATCGCAGCATCCAGCGGTACAGATCGTCTAATTCTCTTGTGAGGAGGAGGGGGTCAAGGTAGAAAAAGATGTACATCGAGGCGAGATGACAGTTTTTTACAACTTGGAGTTCGTAGGAATACGCGATTAACGGCTGTACAAGCTCGAAATGAACAGGAAGACGTTCGAGGAGTACGAGTAAGTGAGCGTACAGTTCGCAGGAGATTTGAAGAAGTTGGTTTAGGGTCGTATATACCTGCCAAAGGCCCAAAACTTGAGAGACGTCACCGCGTAAACCGATTATGCTATGCGCGAAAACATCGTCATTGGGATTTGAACGAATGGCAGCAGGTTCTCTTTACTGATGAGTGCAGAGTTCTTTTAAAACAGTTCGATGGGAGACAGCGAATATGGAGACGCAAAGGAGAACGCCACATACAGTCTAATTTTGAACACACAGTGGCTTATGGTGGCGGCTCGATTATGGTTTGGGGAGGGATATGTTTGGGAGCTCGCACGGAGTTAGTGATAGTCACAGGAGGGACCATGAGAGCAGATCGATACATCAGAGACATTTTAGAAGAACATGTTGTACCATTTGCCCCATTTATTGGTGACAAATTTATTCTAATGCAAGATAATGCTCGTGCTCATAGTGCACAATCGGTACAGGCATATCTAAGCCACGTAGGTATACCGGTGATGCAGTGGCCAGCAAATTCCCCCGATATGAATCCGATAGAGCATTAGAGTTGTGGCCCATAGACATCGACATATATCCTCGTTTGCGAATCAAAATTTAGATGCGTTGTCACCCGTGAGGACTAAGATGGAATGCCTCTTTTCCAGTAAAAAGGGTCTCCGGATCTCTACACTCCCCATACGAAGCACAGCAGTGTTAAGCTGCTATTTTACGCTGGTATTCTGTGAGAGCGTCGTTTTCCCCCGGTCGAGCCGACCCATTCGTGCTAAACTAAACTACTAATATAGCTGCAGCATGGCTCTACCACGTATAAAATTTTACTATAATTCAAATTTTTTTCAATTATATTTTTTGATTATAATATAAACTAGTGCTTGGAAATTTAGTTATTTAAAATATTGTATGAAATATTTAGTCCGTGACGTAGTTGCGATATCGGCAGGTTTCTGGGCTGCCCATTCGAAACAACGACCGACATGTGGGTGAGATAGCGTCAATGGCACTCGAGCTGCTCAACGCTGTCAAGACTCACAAAATAGCACATAGACCAAATGAAACCCTTAAGTTAAGAATAGGTATTCACACAGGTAAGTTACTATTTTTTGTTAGTTTAGTAGTAAATTTTTTATTAATTAATTTGTAGCCTCTACGGTCCTACAATGGATGCCGGGTCTGAATGCTTGAAGAATTTAAATTATTTTACATAAAAAAATCCGAGGCTTGGTCCTCGCACAACTGTGATGCAGTTAACAGATAAGTTTATATTTACATTTTACTTTAAACAAAAACTATTACACTAACGCCAATGCTGCAGACTAGCGTAAGCATTGTCGTTAGCTTGAGTTCGGTCACTATTTGTTATGACTTATAGTGGTTTAATTGGTTTCTGATACGTAAAGGTGGTAGGAATTAATGACAAGAATGTTTTAGCGTCTTGAGATATTATTGTCGTCGACTAACTCTGGTGGATTAAACTGGCGTCAAAAGCTTTGAGAAATTTACAATGCGACGTATCAACATTTTACGACGTATCAATAGTATTGACATAATTATTAAGGGGACAATGGGTTATAGGGCGACGATGATTATTTAGACTGAAAGACAAAATCCTTAGTTCTCATTTATTATTATTGCAAATAAATGAAAACTGAGGTTTGTAAGTGGGACGCAAATTTGACAACTGCATCTAATCAAGTGTCGTCGTTTATCTTAATTCTAATCTTCAATTTAAAGTAGGATGCGTTTTAGTAACTTTAGTTATAGTTAATTTCATATAATGAAATCAGAAAGAATGTCAACAACACAGCAAATTACTATTTTCACATAAGGATATAATCCTCATGGTTACAATATCCTCATTCGATTTTTGATTTAAATCAACCACATTTTATTACTATTTTATGTCATTATTCAAGAGCAGTGTCATTCGTCTATGGGCTACAGCATTCACTTGCCATCAAATGGACTGTCCGCTCTATAATTATTATATTGCTTATAAAACACGAAATAACAAATTCTTGATCACGAAGTATTTTACAATCCAGATATGATCGGCGGATAGCTAATTAAAATATTGGGTCCGTCAAGAGTGAGAAATCCGGAATGTTTATTTACATTCTTTCTCATTTTATTTGAAATGTACTATAAGTAATTGTGGCGTTGGCAAATGACCTCATCTCATCTCATGGCTGATGTAAGAGACGATTTAAGGAAATTTCTTTAGGATTGTTTGGTCTGTATAGAGTAATTTATCACAGTTGTAAAATACACAACATTTTTATCGGCGACGTAAAGAACGTTAGAAGTGAGAAACGCCTGATAATGGGTTCACAAGGGTTTCGTCACACCGGTAGCAATAATATAATATATTTTTAAGATATATTACGATACTAACCTGTATTGAAATTTTGGAAATATACTCTAAAAGTACTTTTATATTAAATTAGTATGTTTGATGGATCAATATTACAGTATTTAGAACTTGAAATATCCTTTATATTGAAATTGAAGCAAAGACGTGCACCAGGAAGATTGCCGGCGGATTCTTCTTATTATGGAATGACCTATACAAAACCGTAGTAACTTTATGGCCTTTACTGTGACTGCAATTAGACTGCAAATTCATGGTTTTGAATATTTCTACTTCTTATACTTGGTATGATTTATTGTTGAATATAAATTGCAATTTTCCATTCCAGGAGCGGTAGTTGCGGGAGTGGTGGGGCTTACTATGCCACGGTACTGTTTGTTTGGCGACACAGTAAATACGGCATCCCGAATGGAGTCCAACGGGGAACCGCTGCGCATACACATCTCGCCAAGTTGCAAGCAGGCGCTGGACAAGATCGGGGGGTATTTGGTCGAGCCGAGGGGTACCATACCAATAAAGGGTAAAGGACAGGTGAGTGAGTTCAAATTAAAAGTTATATTGATTCATCATTACAGTCTCCACTATTACATTGCTGAACATAGGCTCTCCTCGAGAAATACCACAAAATACGGTCCCGATCCACCTGTACCCATCCATCGACTTCCTGCGTGTTTCATACGTGGAGTATACGAGGGCGGGAGTTGCTCTTTAAACTAGTTAAGATACATCATTTTATATTATTGAGCGGATGTAGGCAAAGTAATTTTTACCAACTTTAATGAAATTATTTATTACGATGAAGTGGAGTACCCATTGTTGCAATATTTTACGGACTTCGCGAAATCGTTTACTAAAACTTTATATAAGGGATGCCTCGAATTCTTTTCAGTTACTATCTTTTTGAGACGCGCCATCAGGCTCGTTGTTTTCTACCACAGTCAATATTTTTTTTATCATATCGAAAAATATTTTTTTTGTCTATATTAAATTATAACCCGAGATCAGTTATATTATAAGTAAACAACCAAAGAGCATATTATCATTATGTTTTAAGCAGATGTTGTTTGGAGTCGTCTCTTATTTTAATAATGACGCTGTCGCTTCGAGTAGAGTAGTTAACATTTAAGTCGTATTTAGAAATACATACTCAACGGCTTGAACAATTTTAAGACTTTCTTAAGTAGAAAACAACTTTATAACGTGAAATGTGATGACTAATATTCTAAACTTCTGTCAATGTTACGTCAAAGAGATTCTAGCTCTCAAGTCATAGAACACTATCCCAAGTACAACTTCTTGAGGAGCTGATCTTGGTAACTGAGATACTGTTTTTATGTGTTTATTATCTGTATTTGGCGTTCTCCGTGCAGCCAGGGCGCGATGCTGCCGCCGCTCCCAGAGTGCAGTCCGCAGACTCCGCGCCGTAATCTTAAGTTCTGTTTATATATTGGATTATCATTGTAAAAAGACAAGTTTGTAGTAACTAACGTTATTACATACACACCGAACTAGAAAATCAGCAATTTTAACCTGTCTACACTGCAGTATATAATAACTTAGTGGATGAGATAAATATGTAAACTCGTTCATCAATATCCGAAGTTTGAACTGCGGAACGTTCCAATATCCGAAGATTGAACTTCAATACGTTTAACTTCGGAACGTTACAGTATCCACGTACCACTATCCGAAGTTAAACTTCGGCTTATGTTTGTAGAATCTCCAAAGGCTGTGCCTTATCCCATGAAAGCTTTTCCGCTACTTAGTTTAGTTTTACCGTTGTGGGAGTTAGACATTTTGTATAATGCTTTTAGTTTAGCGATAATAGACTAATGTTCATCTAGTGTTAAGCAAAATAAGTTTTTGTTTTTGTTACATCTAGTCAGTAAATTCCAGGTTTATGAGCGAGACCAATATTTAATATTATATTCTTGACCTTTTCATTTGATATGTTTAGTTGTTACAAGTGCAACTTAGGGTTAAGTGATGTTTTTGACATTTGTTACTTTTTGCTTGATTTTAAGATTGTTTTAAAATGTTTTGGCTTTGTTTCTAATATACATTTTATTAATTAATAATGATTTTAGGATGCTGATATCGTAATGAGTGCGTATCAAATGATTACATACTTGAGTTCGTCGTTGAGGGATGTTTACGAATCTAATTCTGTAAAAAATCGTCTGTGGTCGCTCATGCAACTCGCCCAAGTAGCGAGAGCCGAAAAGTAATGTCGCTTAAAAACTGGAAGGGCGGAAATCACGGCACCGTGCACTCGCCCCACGCTTTCGCGTTGCCATGTGCTCGCCCCTACACCTCCCCGATGCTGTTGATTCGACATTAAGCTATCAATGATAAAAAATATATTTATTTCCTATATTAACGTGCATAATAAATGTTTTTATAGAAATACGGTGACAAACGAGCACACAGTCCACCTGATGGTAAGTGGTTGCTGAGGACCATAGACATCTACAATTCTTCTCGCTTGCGAATCAAAATGCAGATTCGTTATTAGCCTTGAGGACTAAGATGGAATGCCTATTTTCCAGTAAAAAGGGTCTCCGGTTCTCTACACTAACCATACGAAACACAGCAGCATTAAGGTGCTATTTTACGCTGGTATTCTGTGAGAGCATGGTCCTCCCCGGTCGAGCCGACCCATTCGTGCTACAACTATACTATAAATATAGCTGCAGCTTGGCTCTACCACGTAAAAAAAAATTGTTATGGCTATCACAAATAATAATGGCTATTTCAAATAAACATAAATCAATGCAGACGATGTCTAGAACATTCTTCTCCCTTTGATAGTCTCTTAACGAAATAATATTATGTAACATTATATTATTAAACAATTGCAAGATATTTTAGAAATCTAAAAATCAATTTACTACAAATTTTATATTTATTTTAGTTGCAAACATATTGGTTGGTTGGAGCTACAGAAAAGGCAATACAAAAGAGACATGTAGATGGTGAAGAGCGTCCACTGTTCAGACGACCACGAAGAAGTCCGAGGCTAGCGGACTCTAGACATCCTTCCTTATCAGGTAAGCAGTTATTCGTTTTTAATAACAATAATGTTTCATACAATTTACATTCTTATCACTTGTCTGATTTTTTATTCAAATTTATTGTAAAAGGGTCGATTAGGCAACGAATCAGCTTAACGTCGTATATCGCTAATTATGAGGAGAGCCACAGTCAGAGTAATTCATGCAGTCTATGTAAAAGCAATGTATGGTAAAGCTTTATATGTCGCTTTTTATCTGTCTTTATATGAACTAAAGTATTCAACCGTATCAAAAGGACAGACTTGACAAATCATAACGATAAACTTTGTTAAAATCCATTAATTGTAATGCGTTTAAAAACCTAGGTAATTAGTTAATTCAGGCTGGATTGTATCATCGCGCTGTGACTTTAACATTGTAACTGGGTTGGGCTTGAAAGTAAGTCGCCTGAATTTGAGGATTCTGTCACTGTGGGTTGTCAAGGGGGTTTATCTGAAGCACCCCCATGCGATTATTGCTGCCGGAGCAGCGTTATTTTTTATAAACCACTCAGAAGTAGTAGCCTCGCTAAGCGGGGCTCTATCGAGGGAATCGACTGCGCCACGGTGAGTGGAGTGGGGCTTCTCTTCCCCAACTCTCTCCCCCCATAAATCAGGTTTATATTGTCAAAAACATTGAAAAATTTATAAAAAAAAACTAAGCACGTCCAGCAGGAGGCAGGAGGGGGAGTGGGTGGCTACTCTACAACTCCCTCCCACCCCATCCCCCAAATTCTGGTGACTTACTTTCAAACCTTATCTTTGTAATTCTTCATTCCTAAACTTTCACGAGTTTTATTTTTAAGTTCAAGAAAATCTAATATTAATAGTCATTGCAATTTTAAAGAGGTTTATGTTTAGATTAGGATTTAGACTATTACAATTGTATAAAATATTTGTCTAAAATAATTAAAAAAAAATTGTTGCCGGAGCTTGTACACGTATTTAAGATGAGAGTTAAAAATTACTTTGATTAAACTTAATTTAGAAATTATGTTTATGTGTATTAAGATCATACATAATTTCATTAATTACAACTGCTCTTTCTAGTTCATAGCTATTAAAAGAATATTTATTATTTTCAATAGGTTTTGTGAAGGGCTGTAATGATAATGATTATGATGATGAGTGAATGAGCTCTCGTTTAATAAACAAATACATAAATAAGTATACTGTTGCGTTACTGGCAAATTTATATAAATCCTCACTTTTCCTACTGTGTACCCTGACCACTGATTTCCATTTCAAGGTCAGGGTCACTGGCGCGGAGGATATGGCGTTAGTTAGTTGTGCACGACGTATCTATAGTTTTAAACATGATTGCCTGTGAACATAACGAGTCTAAGTGTGTGGTGGCGGTCCGCCAGAGCTGAAGAACGATGGTGGTTGGCCAGTTGGTGGCGTGCGACAGCGGCTGCACAGCGGGGCGTCGCTGCCCGCCGCGCCCGCCGCCTCCCCCGCCCCCGCGCCCGCGCCTTCCCCCGCCTCGCCGAGCTCGCGCCGCCTGCGCCAAGACCGCATCGACCACGCAGCGCGCGCCAGGTAACGTACACCTTGCGTACACCCTTTAGAGCTTAATTTGCCTTACGTGCTCCTATATCATCGATCGAACTGCTTTAGCTTTGTACTTACTGCAAACGGGTGGTTTGCAGTAAGTACCGGCATCGGCTGGACGATCTACTAATTTGGCGCTATTTAGATTTAAGATGATCAAAGATTATTTATTTTATTCATGTTTAATTTTTTCAAAAAGAGACTCCGAGTTTTTCTCATAAAATATAGCTTAGATCATTCCTGGCATTGCTCTCTATCTGTTCGTCAAGTTTCATTGCAATCCGTTTAGTCATTGCAAATGTTAGCTCGGAGTAATAGACACGAAATGGTTTATCATGTCTTAATAGCATGCAAATAACCTCCTCGGCTTGATAAAATGCAGTTTCATATTAAGGTGAAAGATCCAGGGTGGCCCGCGAAATTCCAATTTTCTTGCGTTTTTTGGAATTTGCAGGTCAGGGTCAGGTTGTATGTTTAACAAAATATGATTCGCGACCGTAGCGATTATGTGTTTACAGAATTATTATCATTAAAATCACGAATACAACCCTGTAAGTTCATATAATCCATTCGAATGAGTTTTTTTGGAAATAGCTATACAATGAAAAATTTGAATTTCGCGGGCCACTCTGGAGCTTCCACCTTAATGACAGACCCTTCAATTTTATTTACATGTGTATAGATAAAAAATACGCAGTTCTAGAGCGGTCGTGTAAATTCTGACTTGCACATATTTAAATATAGGCTCTAAAGGTAAACTTGAAACAAAATTGTATAACAATTTTGTTGCTTTACGTTGCATGAAAAATTTGAAATAAAAATACAATGCTAATGTTAGCACTCCCTTCAATGACCACTTTGCTAGTTTATTCCGAGTATTAATTAATTTTTTTTTATATCAATGCATTACAGTTATTGGTAGAATATACAACTTCTTTTGCTGGCATCCCTTACTAATTTATTAGTTTCAGTACCTTGTTGGTCGTTTTAGTTCTGTAAGCTGCCTCAGGGACCTACATCATGGTACAGCTGCGTTGCCACGTTTCACGGATGTTGTTCCTTACACTGTTTCGAGCTTTCAACTTTCCGAACTGTAATTAGTACAAGGAAATGAGGAAGGCAAGTGCGATTTGTACGTGTGGTTTGCACGTGTGATTGCTTGGATTGTATCGGTCTTATTGATTAAAGGATGCAATTTTAACATAGTCATTTCATTGTACTTTATTCAATGATTGTTTTCCATGTGGAGTGATTCACGAACATTCCATTTAAAGTACCTAAATAATTTAGTGGCGTATTAAAACTTTCATAAGTTCCGCATATTGCATTAGCATGAAAAATAAGTGGCAATTTGCCTTTTTATAAACAAACATTTTGGTGGTGTTGTTTGAATTTAACTCAAGTTTGCACAATATATTATTCTGTTAAGGTTGCATAGTCGTAAAATCAATTTGTTAAGGTTAGTATTGTAATGTTTGCTCTTGGAAAAGCGGGTGTCTGTTAATACGATAAATATATGTCACGTTCAAAACGTCTAAATAGCGAGATAGTGGCGTAAGAGATACGTATGACAAAAGAGCGGTGAGCGGTGAGTTGTAGTGTGAAGCCTGGCGTCGACTACAGCAAAAATGCGTCGAATCGAAGCGAGTCGTATTTATTTCTAGTGCGTCTATCTCTGAAGAATTGAATCGATTTGTTCATTCATCGCAAATTTTTTATCAAAATAGGTCGTTTTTGCGTCATGCACAGCTCGGATGAAGAAATGTTTTTATCTATACAAATAAATAAAATTGAAGTGTCTGTTTGTAATGTCAAAATTACAGCTTTTTACTAATTGCATATAAAAGTATATACGGCACTCATAACAAAAACATAATTTTTAAAATTTTTGTCTGTCTGTCTGTCCGTCTGTTTGTTCCGGCTAATCTTCGAAACGGCTGGACCGATTTTGACGTGACTTTCACTGGCAGGTAGCTGATTTTATAAGGAGTAACTTAAGCTACTTTTATTTTAGAAAAAGAATTGGGGTTCCGCCCAAAACATAAAACATAAAAACCCTAATACGCGAGCGAAGTCGCGGGGAACAGCTAGTTTCAAATACTTTTTGGTAAGAAGATGAGAAAAGAAAAAGGAAACGGCGTGCTCCCAAATACTGTATACACGACATTTATGTATAAGATATTTATATAAAAGAAATAACTACGGCGATTTTCATCATTTATATCCAGATTTGAAAAGAAATTCTGTTAATTTTTTCTTATATTTTCGTTTTCGTTCGTTTGTAATTATCCCAATTTCTTCCCATATGTTCATCCGACGCTGGTCACCGTGATAATGTGGATCTTCGTGATTAAATAATTCTGGATAACAATATCCAGAATTATTTAATCACGAAGGACCAGTGATATCAATAGTTCTTCATTCATTTTTATTTAATCAAAAAGATTTTTACGAAAACGAAATAGAAATTAATAAAAAACGTTGGCACGCATCCACTTTTCCGCGTCGACTGAGGAAATCGAATCGCACCGGCGAAGAAATTAACCTGTCAAGTAATTCGCGCAGTCGTTTCAATTCGGCGCGCTACGACTCGCAGTTTGTAGTAAATATATAGCAGGCGACTTTCTGCGATTTGATTCGATTCGGTTCGATGAGCATAGTGGAGGCTGAGCTTCATGAGTTATGTTGTTACAGGCACGCCTTAAGTTCGATCGCGTCGTCGACGGCGTGCGAGACGGACGGCGCGTCGGAGGGGTCGGGGTGGTGCGGCGCGGCGGCGGGTGGCGCGGGTGGCGCGGGGGGCGCGGGCGCGGGGGCGGCGCTGCGCGGCGCGCACTCGCTGGACGTGCTGGCGCCGCGCCGTGAGTCGCGCCGCGCGCTGCGTCGCGGACACACGTCGCGCTCGCTCGATGCCGACGTCGCCGTCTCCACCGTGTCCGGCCCGCTCTTCAACGGCACCATCATCGGCATCGTCACCGACGACCTACCCAAGACCGCCGAGGACAGCCCCCTTCTGCGCAAGTGCAGCCTCCACAACAAGCTCGACCGCCCCAAGCGCAAGGTGCACGACGCCAACTACATCGAGTTCTACAAGAAGTGGCGCTCGCTCGAGAACATCGCGGACGTCAAGAGCGACATGCGCAAGATGCCGCGCTTCGCGATCCGCTCGTGGCTGCTGGGCATCTTCAGCGGCACGCGCAGCAGCAGCTCGTCGCTGCGCCGCGCGCCGCCGCTGCTCGACCGCGAGTCTGCCGTCTGAACGCCTACTCTGTACCTTTTTTTAGTCGACCAAGCTAATCAGACTATTCAACGTGACGTCACTTGCGGCCGAATCCGATTGTAACAATGATCTGTGTCGTAAAATGGACACTCGATCGTTTCGTCTATTTGGCTCGGTCGAGTAGTACGATATCCTTACTCCCCCTAATTATTTCCTTAGTGTTATAACAATACTGTGCAATGGAACTTATTTCTAAGTACTGTCGATGAGTCAAACATTAAATTCACAATTCCGAAGGAGTTTTCCCGTAGTATCTATTCTATACACTCGATTCATTTAAATGTATATTAGATATATGTATATGAAATGCTGTTGTAAATAATATGTGTAAGTAAAACGATGTTACCGTAAATTGTGAATTAAGAGTTTAATGTTATTAAATAATTTCTATTGAATAAGTTTTCTTAATAATACTGACATAGATCACATTACTACTACAGCGTAATGACGACGAGTCCTCTTACGGATGGATGTAAATAATATTATCGTTACGCCATGGCCGGACACACACAATAGACATAAACATAAAAATTACATTATAAACATAGTAGGTAACACTTTCATAAAATCTACAAATTATTTGACGAGAGTTGATAAATAGTATGAAAACGTTTCGAAATAGCGACTGTTGCTGAAGTATCGCAATTTGTGTGACGAGCGTGGCTTATCTCTTACATGAAAAAGTTTTGAATTAAGAGACTTGCTGCTGTTGTCAAGCGGCGAGGCCGGGCGAAAAATAACTAGCGGGCTGCAATTTGTAATGCGTTCCTAAACGCAAACCTATATCAACCCTGCTTTTTATCAACTCTCGCCGAACAAATTTTATGATAGAAGATTTAACAATTGCTAAATTTGTAAAATGTACTTTAACTTCCAAATACATTCAATTTTAAAGATTTAAAATTCTTGCAAATTATCATAAAAGGCGATTATAGCGAAGTTTTAAAAGCTGCATTTCAAACATTTTAAACACAATCCTTAATGATAGAAATACATCAAATAGTCATGGAAGCTATCCATAATAATGTGAATCAAGAGTGAATATTCATAACAAGTTTAGTGTCCAGCAGCGGCTAATGACTAGGAGTTGCGGATAAGAATGGAAGGCTTATGCGTCGGCGAGCAGTGGAATGGCGGCGGTGTCGTCGTATGAACAGCCGTTGACGACGAGCCGGATGTCACAAGGGGCATCGGGTGCGTTTTGCGGCTTTTCAAGAGACTTATTGAACATGTTGTCGGGCGACTTGTCATATGACTTGTCGATCGACTTATCGTGCAGCTTGTCGTACGACTTGACGAGAAACTTCTCCGGCAGCTTGTCGTGCGACTTAACGAGCAGTTTGTCTAGCGGCGTTTCGGACTCTGGCGGGTGAGCGCTCTCAACGTGTTCGATGATAGGACACGACACGCTCGTGTACTCGTGCCGTAAGCTCGGCGCTTCTAAAAGGTCGCTGCGTTGCGTAGGCGCCAGCCGACCTTCGCCTACCACCTGCAAATAATAAGAATATTCTTAGAAACTTGACTGAATGGTTTGTTCAGAAGGGATTATATTGACGGGGGCAAAAAATACAAAACAGAGTTGACATTTCATTATATTCAGTTTGTAACTACCTCATCAATCTATTCGAAAATTATACAATAAGATCGTAGGTAGGCTAAACTGCAGGGCCGAATTTAAGGGACCACTTAGCATTCCACGTGGTAAGTTTGTCTGTTGGATTGTATTCTGTTAGTATTGTTACGAGCTTGGGGTTCGAGATAATTAAAAACTGCCGAGCGAATTACCAATATTGACTATTTAATTACACAACACTAATTATAACTTAAAATCACTCTAATAATAAAACACAGTTCGCCGTTATTTCGCTTCGAAGTATTCTCTTGTATCGCCAAGTCAATACTGCCTTGGTCGTGGTCCATACCGGCCTTATATAGGGCCTCAGACAGTTTCCAGAACCTTCCACTGTAGCGACATCTAGAATGTTCGAGTACATATCGGCCCCGAAATTTCTGGAAGGTTCTCGACTCTCCTAGTTCTGCTACTCGACACTAGAGGGCGCTAGTGTAACTAGTGTTGCCATGTACAAGACATTAATAGTGGCGCGCAACACTTTCTTTTACTCGACACTAGAGGGCGCTAGTGTAACTAGTGTTGCCATGTACAAGACATTAATAGTGGCGCGTAACACTGCCCCCTCCTAAGACATGCTCGTCCCGAGCATTATTGGCCCCATAATAACGCGCCAGTCGATCCACATGTCGATCCACAATCTTAGGAGTACCTCTGACACCTTTCTGTATCCGGTAGGTTACGTCATTGATCCTTGTCACAATCCGGTATGGTCCGTCCCATTTAGCTTGAAGCTTAGGAGATTTCCCTTTGCTGCGAGCTGGATTGTGTAACCACACTAGTGAACCTTCATCAAACCCCTTGTTGTTCATTTTGCGGTCATACCGTGTTTTCATCTTCTCAGACGTTTGCTGGCCCGTCTGTCTGACGTGCTCATAAATGTCATTCATTTTGTTCCGCAAGTCATTTGCATAATCGGTTATACTGCGTGGGGCATCAGGTGGTATTCCGGTGATCAGGTCTGCAGGCAGCCGCAATTCTCTCCCAAAGTTTACGAAAGCTGGTGTCACTGATGTACTTTCGTGAACAGCGCTTCGATATGACAACAAAAACGGTTGTATGTGCCTGTCCCAGTCTCGTTGCCGTTTTTCCACAACTTTTGCTAGGTACCTCTCTAATGTCTGATTAAATATTTCTACCATTCCATCAGATTGTGGGTGGTAAGAAGTTGTTCGTGTTTTCTGATTACCCATAACTCGGCAAGTTTCCTGGAATATTTGAGACTCAAAATTCCTTCCTTGATCGCTGTGAATCTCTAAAGGTACTCCAAAACGACAGAAGACTTCATGAACTAGTTTATCTGCAACGGTTGAAGCTTCTTGATTTGGAATGGCGAAGACTTCTGGCCACTTAGTGAAGTAATCCATCACAACCATGAAATACTTGTTACCACTTTCAGTTTCTGGAAACGGCCCCGCAACGTCAATGGCTATCCTCTCCCATGGTGCACCAACATTGTACAATTTCAATGCGCCTCTACTACGAATTTGAGGTCCCTTTACAGCCGCACAACTTGTACATTTGCGGCACCAGTCCTCGACATCGTCACGACAGTGGACCCAGTAAAACCGTTCTCGGATCTTCAGGAGAGTTCGTTTAACTCCCAGGTGGCCTCCTGAACAACCACTATGGTACAGCTGTAGAATAGCCGGCACTTTAGCCTTAGGGACAACCATTTGCAAATGACACCTGTCTCCCCGACCATTTTCCCATTTACGGCACAGGACTCCATCCTGAATCAGCAAGCTGTCCCATTGGGCCCAATAGCTTTTCGTGGTCGAACTCATTGCTGAGACGTCGCTCCACTTGGGCTTAGGAGCACTGGCCTTCATCCATTCCAGAATCGGCTTAATGTCCGAATCTTCCTGCTGTGCATGTTGTAGGCTGTCCTTCCACTCATTGCTGAGCTGGTCTGTCCTGAGCATTCTCACAGATACCACTTCCTTACCCTCTTGCCTAGTACAATGCTTGCAATCTTCAGGGCTAGGTCTTCTTGACAATGCATCTGCATTGCCATGAGATTTCCCGCTGCGATGTTCGATCACAAAGTCGTATTCCTGCAGTAGTTCAATCCATCTCGCAACTTGTCCTTCCGGATTTTTGAACTGCAATAGCCATTTCAGTGCAGCATGGTCAGTTCGTAAGTGGAATTTCCGCCCTAGAAGATATTTGCTAAAATGCTGCAAGGACTTTACCACAGCAAGCAATTCCCGTCTTGTGACACAATAGTTCCTTTCCGGCTTTGACAACGACTTGCTGAAGTACGCTATCACAATCTCTTGATCACCATTCCGTTGAGACAACACACCGCCAAGTCCTATATCACTTGCGTCTGTGTCAACTATGAATTCCTTGCCTGCATCAGGGTACCCCAAAATAGGTGTTTTGCACAGACGGTTCTTGAACTCCTGGAATGCAATATCGCAACTTTCATCCCAACAGAATTGTCGCTTCTCCTCGGTTAGCTTGTGCAGAGGTTTGGCTATATCTGCAAAGTTCTTCACAAATCGCCGATAATAAGAGCACAAACCCAAAAATGCTCTAACCTGTGTCTTGTCTTTTGGGACCGGCCACTCCTTGACATCAGCAATTTTCTCTGGATCCGTGCGGATACCTTCTTCCCACACTACATACCCCAAAAAACTAACTTGCCGTTTGAATAGTGAGCACTTCTTTGGACTCAACTTGAGGTTGGCACTCTGGATCTTCATGAGCACGCGTTCCAGGTTTTGAAGGTGTTCCTCAAACGTACGGCCTACGATGATGATGTCATCCAAATAGACGAGACAGGCATCTCCAATTAACCCGGTAAGTACAAGCTCCATCAACCTTTCAAACGTTGCTGGAGCATTGTACAATCCAAACGGCATGACTTTAAATTGCCACAGGCCCTTTCCTGTGGAGAATGCAGTTTTCTCCTTGTCCTTAGGGTCAATTTCAACCTGCCAGTAGCCACTTTTCAGATCCAGCGTACTAAACCACTTTACGCCTGTAAGCATGTCCAGCGTGTCATCAATTCTTGGCAAGGCATAGCTGTCCTTCTTTGTAACGTCGTTCAGGCGGCGGTAGTCAACACAAAACCGCATGCTGCCGTCCTTCTTCTTTACCAGCACCACAGGTGAACACCATGGACTAGATGAAGGTTCAATAACACCATCCTTCACCATTCCCTCAATCATGGTTTCCACTTCCTTTTCACGTGCTACAGGCAATCTTCTTGGCCGCTGACGAATAGGCAATTCTTGTCCTATGTTTATTTTGTGTCTTTAGTCTAAGCCAGTCTTTCCTATGTCAGCTTCGTTTGACGAGAAAACATTGGCGTACTTGAGTAACAACTTCTTCGCTTTGACCGTTTCATTCGGGGAGAGAACGCTGCGACAGTCTTCTAAAAGTGTGGTCACTCTAGTTTGTCCATCCTTGCTGGGGGTCCCAGTCGATAGATATTCGCACCGACGCAACCAATCCACTTCCTCACTAGTACCAACCAATGTGCCTTTTTGTATAATCTGTTCCTGATCACAAAGGTTCAGCACACGTACTCCTGAGATGTCGGCGGTTCTGACCAAGGTTCGAGCCACTTTCCATGGAAGGTCATTGTCTACCCTTTCCACGAGTACACAACGAAGAGTTTGTCCAGGATTCCTTGGAAGTCTAACCGGCACAATCGTTTCCGATCTCGGCGGAAGAACAATCTTCTTGAGGCTGTACACATTCCCTGGTAACGCCCCTTCCACGAAAAGTTCCTCTTGTCCACATTTCAAAA